TGATTAAGATATAGGTTTGGCTGTGGGTATAACTCAGAGATACAGCACTTGCCTAATGTGTACATGGCCTTAGATTCAGTTTCCTTACACTGAAAATACATGTTTTTCTTCATGCAAATACACAGATAATAGTGACACAAGTTTCATGTAGTCACACCCACTTGCGACCCCAGTGAGGCTTGAGGCAGGGGAATCAGGAGTTCTAAGCTAGTCTGGGATGCATAGCAAGAACTTGCTTCAAAAACAAAAACAAGATGGGCCTGGTGGCATAGGTCTGAGTGGAAGCAATTTTGGAGACTGAAGCAGGGATATCAAATACTCAAGTCTCGTCTGGGCCACTGAGTGAGAGAGAGGCCATCTTGAAATCGAAACATAAAAACTAAAAACTAAAACAATACACTCCACCACCACCACCCAAAGAGAGAGAGAGAGAGAGAGAGAGAGAGAGAGAGAGAGAGAGAAATTTGCTTTTTTTTCTCTCTTAAGTGGACTTGGAAATTCTGAGGTAATATTCAGTTGTATTTAAAAGTGTAAAAAAAAAGATTGGTATCACTTTAAAAATATTAAAAGAGGAAATCACTGTGGATGTCCATTGTTTTCTGAAAGAAGTTTGTTTGCATGCCTGTCTGCTGCTGACCTGATAGAAGGCCAAATCAGACCAGGCTCCCCTTTTTGGAACATTCCATCTCACTGAAACAGAGTGAATACAGGCTAACAATGATACACACTGAAACAAGCTATCAACCTTCAATTTCACATGTGTCTCATTTGTAAATAAAAGCACTGCAAGGCCAGTCTCTACCTTTTGAAACAGGGTTGACCTGGATGTGATTCTGGCTTCTCTCCTTTGTACGTGTGACCCTGGCGAGTTGTGCAAACCTTGCTGTGCTTTGGCTTTCTCATGCAATCTGCTACATTCAGGCAGATGTAAATATTATGTGAGGCAATGTTAAAACGCCAAGAACAGTGTGAGGCACACCAGAAAGCTAATGGATATTAGCTGCTCTTCTTATCCAGCCCCACAAATACTGGCGTTTTCTATGGAGTACTCTCTATGTTAGACCCTGACGGATCTTTGAGGCCTCTGGCCTTCTTGTGCCGTATCTAGACACAATGTGTTAAAGTCTTAATTATGAAATTTGGATAAATTCATCAGTCAGTGAGGTTAAAGTTAATCTAGAGGAAAAGGCCTCTTAGAGTTGGGGAACACTATTAATTTGGGATAGAATATGAGAAGTAGTTATCTAATATCTTCTTGCCTTTAAGTTGTTGAGTTACTGTGCCAGGTTTTACAAAGTGCATTTCTGATGCATATTAAAACCACTGTGACATTCAAAGAGTCAAATATGCCTGATTAGAGCTTTGGGTCTTGTATTTATAAAAAGGTTACTGGTGCATTTCCTCTGTGCAAATTATTTTTGGATCTTACTAATATTTACGAATATAATAAAGTCTATGCAGAATAATGTATGAGATTAATTTGTCCTAGTCATTGGGTTGCTTTTTATTTAGGAAGATATCTCAGAAAGATGTTATCTCTTGGTAGGAATTCCGGCAGACAGAAAACAGTGGTGCAAAGGGCAGCTATACTCTCACCCTCGGAGACAAGATAAGAAAGATCATCAGGACAATAATGTATTTGCTTGCATAAATTTATCACTGAGATGACACAGAACCATTTCTTTAGGGGTGTTTCATGGAGATGTCAAAGGTAGCCTATGCAACAAACAATGGTTTAAGGATGGTTTGGGTGGATGTGTTCACAGCATTAAAGGCCAGGTTATTCTGGCCCTGGCTTGGTAATGCAGGTCTGTAATCCCTGCCACTGAAGATGAGGCAGGAGGATTGCAGGTTCAAGGCAAGCTTGGGCAATTTAGTGAGACTGCTTTCAAACAAAAAGTAAAGAGGGGGCTCAGTGGTAGATTTAATCCCCAGTGCTGGGAGAATAAACCCAAACCTAAACTAAGACAAAACTGAACAAAACAGATGTACTCGTTACTTTCCTTGTTGCTGTGATCCATTCCTGACAAAGGCAGACTTAAGGAAGGAGGGTTTTTTTTGCTTCACCATCCCAGCATAGTCTGTCATGGTGGGGAATGCACGGTGGCAGGAGCATGTGGCAACCGCTCACGTCACATTCACAGTCAGGAAGCAGAGAGAGAGATGAAGGCTGGTGCTCAGCTGCGTTCTCCTCTCTATTCAGTTCTGGACCCCAGCCTGTGGAATGGTGCCATCCACCTTTAGGGTACATCTTCCCATCTCAGTCACCCATCATAGAGCCTCCCTCACAGATCTGTTCAGAGGGTTGCCTCCTAGAAGGTTCTAGATCTTGTTCAGTTATCAATGTAGGGATCAGGATTGGTGTAGGACACCCCAAGACCAAGAGGAGATTCATTTGCTCCTGAGAGACAAAGGGCAGGAGATAAGAGACAAAGACAGAGGATAGAGAATGAGGGAGAAGCGGAAGGGAACACAGGGAAGGGGAGGGAGGAAGAGGAGGG